TAATCTCGAATGCGGTAGGTTGTAACGGCGAAAAAGTTTGATTTTCGGGGCAATCTAGCCTTTGACATGACATGATGAGGCAGATTCATGACTAAGCCACATAAAAATCAGTACCGGTCAGGAGATGTTATTAAGGCGAATTTATTGGTGTTTTCAGCTAAGGTTTATCTTTCTTATTTTGAAAAGTCCAGAGGGATCGCAACGACTCACGCCCCTATCCGTCCGCGTTATGAAAAACGACGAAGCAGGCGAGGTATAAAAGTTTCCAGATCAGTCAGAACTGACTTGGAAACTGTCCAGCTCCGCTCTTTCACCGACCACTGAAAGAACAGAGCTCGGTGGTGATTCCATAAACGATGCAAAGATTGACAGATATTCAGTTGGCTGTCGTGCAGCGCCACGCATACTAAAACGCTCTGTTGCTTTTATTATCTGATAATTGGCTGAGGATGAAGTTGTGCTTTACGGTGATCTTGTATTTCCGTCATGGTCTATAGCATACCACCGCCATATCCATGCAATTTCAGATTTCAGTTTCTTAAAAGTATCCACCATTGTTCCCGTCGTGGCAAAAAACGGCCGCTTATTTAACACATGCTCGAAAATAACATAAAAGTATTCACCTGCGTCGAACTTTTCAGAGGCTCATACAATAACTACGCTTTAAGCCTTTCGGACGGTTTGTCTTTCCTGGTTCCGTCCATCCTTCGCGTATCTGTGCATTTAGCACGTACTTGAAGCAGGGGTGTCACTTTGTACATTTTAAAAGAGAAGACCTGAGCCCCGCAATACTGACCTGAGCCCCTCGCTGCTCTTCTGGGCTCTCTTCCCCAATGCATATGAGCAAAAAGGGAATGCTGGGCCAATGAAATGTAGCCAGTGTCTCAGCTGCTGGTACACAAGGTACCCCAACCCATCGTTATAAATATGATTAGCATCGTACGTCATCATTAACACAATCGCATTGGCTTCCAATGGGAGGTCATTCACCAACATCAAACCAATTTTAGAACCGGCCAAATATTGTTTTCTTAATCTTAATTTTGGCAGTGGAGACGCAAATCCAAGTGGCTGAAACCCAGGGTTGTGTCAGGACTTCGGGGTAGGTGTGGTCAACTATATTGGCTCCGCCCCAACCGATGCAAGACAGTGCTACCCCTCGCCACAAGCATTTGACGCACGGCGCGACGATCCGTTCAAAAGTCAATCAACGAATCTGTCTTAAATTAATTAGACTGAAACTTCAGTTAGACAGGTTGTTGTACCGAGAAGACCGATTCTCCGGATCGCTGTTCGTTTGCAAACCTTTGGTCAATATGCTCACTACGTATCTTTGGGGCACTCCTGACCTTTATTTCGGAAGAATCTCATCCAACTTGAATTGTTTTACTTTGAAGACCTTTTCATAACGTCGCCGAACTAAAGTTGCCGAACCAAAGGCCTGCGTCACAGACTCATTTGTATTACGGCTTGCAAGCTGTACCTTTCACTGCCCAACTTAAAAATGAAATCGTCGGGTTGTCGAGGTCTGCCTGTTGACTGTTCTGTTAGTAAAGTGTTGAAGGTTAAGTCATGATAATATTGCAACATTGCTATTTGCAACATTAGCTATTCACACAGCAACATAGGCTATTCACACAGTTTGCATGCACATGTCTAGCAACTCAAGAAAGGCAATGCGCCCAGCACGCCATGCGTGAATCAGGAGGAGAATGCTCTTCATGAGTTGTGAAGCGTGGCGAAACGACCGAGTCTGGTAAAGGTTAAGGGAGTGCTCACACATTTGTATGGGGTTTTGAACTGAAAGATCTATCGTGAAGATCATTCGGTGCAGTTCACAGGCCTACCCTTCTCAGGGCCTAAAACATTCTAGCTTCTCAGCTACACGCCCGCGAAGATGTGACTTCGTGCAGCTTATTGCAAGGTTAACCAAACATCTATGACGCCATAATAACGCCATTCAAATTATCCCATTCCACTAGCCTCGCGGCGTTCAAGGTCAAGAAATACACAAACGCCAAGTGGTTCATACCTTGGACTCGTGAGGACGTTTCCATACGATTTGGTTCGTTCGTTTCCTAGATTAGAGCCATTCCGACCAGTAGTGAGCATTTCAGAGCTATGGGACGAAGGAGAGTGGATAACGGTGGGCCAAGACTACATACGCCGGGGGGGGGGGAGAGGGGGAGAGGGGACAACCGCACAGCTTTAGCCCGCGCAGGGACCCCTCTGCGGGGTATGCGCCGGGCGTCCGGTCGGGGTCCCCCTTCAGGGGACCTCTCGGTCCACTCGTGGATGGTGCGCGTAACCTGCTCCACACAAACGGGATGTCGGGAGGATGCAGGATGAAACGAGAAAGAGGATGAGAGGGCCGGATGACTAACACAAATAACGTTTAGTACCACGCAAGAAAGAAGTTATGCATCCTTCCTAGCTATTACGGAATAACATTTGCAATCAAATGACTTAAGAATAGCGCTACAACTTGTGTGTGTGTGTGTGTGTGTGTGTGTGTGTGTGTGTGTGTGTGTGTGAATACAACACGTGAGCATAATACATGTCACAATAACCTGAGTATGTGAATACAAGTAACCACCTTAAACTCACGGATAAACAGCAAGAGTACCACGAGAAGTGGACAAAACACAAGCACCTAACGGCATTAGACTCAGTATACATCCAGCGCCGCCGTGGGCCACCTCTCGGGAAATTGAAAATAACTACGGTTGGTGCTGTCACGGACATGTTCCATGACGCAATCAACAACGACGTAGTGAGGAGCATATTTTCTAAATATATAAATTGTATTGTTTACGGTAGACTTTCCAATTATGAGCATATCAATAGCTAGAGGTGAGCTCGTTCCGTCACATCTGATGTTCGCTTCATTAGCCTCAAATGTGGAGCATTCCCTTAAAAAAATGCTAAGCCTCTTTAATTTCGATTTCTCCCAGATGTAACCAATATGATATACAAAGCACAAAAGTAATGACAATAGGAAACACTTCTCAATAATATTCTTCCCTTTGAACTCCGATATACCCATTATCAAAATAGAGTATGTTTGGTATTAGTTCAATGTGACGAAATATTTTTTTGCGACAAAAATAATGATCTGCATGCACGGGTGAAATGTGCTGAAAAATGTTGGTGCTGTATGGCTTCTGGAGTGGATATCCTTCAATGGAAGAGTTTAAAACTTCAGTAATGTTACTGATAGCATTGAGAGTTTGTATGGCCGCTGCCACATCTGTCATACCGTATTCCCCACTCCACCCCTGCGTAGAAACATCGTTCGCAACGTGGGGTGACGGTAGGAATTGCGCATTGGCGGTGCCATTCGTTGGGAGACTGAGGGATAGGAGTCGGTGTTGGAGATATGGGACGCGTTTGCTCCAAATTTGTTGCCAGAACAACAGTTTTATATTCCAATGATACAACATCTGCATCCGGTAAGCTGCTGCTTGGACCGACTACGCACCATGACCAGCATGAGGATTAACGACTTGTTATTGTGACAAACTTTTTTTTCGGAGAAGCCTTCGCACGACTTTCTTCTCATGCACTAAAACGTTCGAACTCAAATACGCATTTGATGATGGAACGTTTCGGGTTACATAATTAAAACAGAGTGTCAGCTGTATACGAAATCATCATTAAAAAAAATAAATTTATCCCGAATGGTTTGTATGGGTGATTTCGGATTCAGAGTACCTGCTAAGCATAGCTTGTTGCGTGTACCCCAAACCCACCACCCAAGCTTGCCGCCCAGTTCAACAGCTAATTTTGCCTCCGCCCTTCCGCCGGACAGGAATGCGGAGGGTTTTACGTGCCGCACAATGCTGCGACACGGCCGCCTCGGGTCTGGGTTGAGCCTCGTTGACCAGTTGCCAGCTGGCCTTTCCGTTTCAGTCGGGTCAAACAATGCGCCCACTCTGGGACTCGTACCCCGTGCAGCTGGATTACGAGTCCAGCATCTTTCCCCAAGACCACGGAGGCAGATGATTGGATTATGATTAGGATTATGAAAGAAAAGTTTTTGACGTAAAGCATCGGTATCTTACGCATTTTTGCTTTCAGTACTTAGAGAATTGGCCTGCCGTTCTGTCTCTGCCATTCCAAAACAAACGAACCCGAAGGATAGCTGCGCTAGTCGTTGATATGGCTTTGATCTACCAATGAATCGTCTTTAAAGAAACGAAATCAGACTGCTCGAAAGAAATGATAAAGGCTGATCAGGATTGAGAAACATTAGGTCCATTCTAAATGCACCATCTTGTTGATGATTTTAAGCAGCTAAAAACGAAAATGTGCGTCGTGCCTGCACAGCCATCCGTGCGTAGCATACACTGCCTCCGACAGAAAATATTCAGTGGGGTTGAAAGCAGTCTCGGCAGCGCAGTGTGTAGCGTAGGTCGTCCGCCGCCTGATTTGTGCCCGTGAGTTTGTAAAAAATAGGTGATTTGGACCGTGCCCCTGAGACGGTGATGCCTGACCGCCCGCTTGCCCCGCAGTGCTCCGTCCGTCACGCCCCTTACCCCTGAAACGGCGGTGCCTGACCTCTGCCAGCTCCGCCCCTGCCGCGCTCTGTTCGCCGCACCTCTGAGACGGCGGTGCCTGACCTCTGCCAGCTCCGCCCCTGCCGCGCTCTGTTCGCCGCACCTCTGAGACGGCGGCGCCTGACCTTTGCCAGCTCCGCCCTTGTCGCGCTCTGTTCGCCGCACCTCTGAGACGGCGGCGCCTGACCTCTGTCAGCTCCGCCCCTGCCGCGCTCTGTTCGCCGCACCTCTGAGACAGCGGCGCCTGACCTCTGTCAGCCCCGTCCCTGCCGCGCTCTGTTCGCCGTACCCCTGTGACGGCGGCGCCTGTCGCCCGGCAGGTGCGGCAGCAGCCGGCCGGCCGCCGACGCCGCCGAGCCCGGCCCCCGTGCTGGCGCCGCCGCTACCGCTGCCGTTCGCCTCGGCCGCGTTCGGCGGCGCCGTGCAGGCGGGCCGGGAGGAGCCGCCGATGGCGCCGTACTCCACCGGCCGGCGCGGATCGCCCGGCCTCTGCTGCGTCGTCTGCGGCGACACCAGCAGCGGCAAGCACTACGGTATCATGGCCTGCAACGGCTGCAGCGGCTTCTTCAAGCGCAGCGTTCGCCGCAGACTCATTTACAGGTCGGTGGCTGGAGTGGTGCGCACCGCGATGATATGCCTCGCTGGGTCGTCTTGAGAGCTCCTTCAAAGGCCACTGAAATTGCGCAGAAATGAGACGTATACGCTCTCTGCAATGCCAGGCTCAATAGCTTACAGCGCAACAGACGCCGGTAGTTCTCTGCTCATTTATCTATTCTTATTTATATTCACTCACCCTCTGGCCCCTTCATGAAACAATAACCGTTACAAAGCAGCTGTACCAATCCATTGACGCTCCTGCGTGCCTTCATGCACCATGTGTTCCTGCGTTCATGCACTGTGTTCATGTGATCCTTAACTAAATAATTGTTTGCAAAATATGGCGTGTCTACCATCGCCCAAAAGCAGACTGCCTGGTGCATGGAACCACCACTGACTATCCAAGTGAGCTAAGTCCAGTATTTTCTTATTTTGTTTGTAGTCACGATTCTGTTTTACTGCAGATGCCAAGCGGGGACGGGGAAGTGTGTGGTAGACAAGGCCCACCGAAACCAGTGCCAGGCGTGCCGGCTGAGAAAATGCCTCATCATGGGTATGAACAAGGACGGTAAGTCATTCACGAACCTGTGCAGCTCCAGTAAAATAAGAAGAGGAGGGAGAAAAAGCAAGAAACCATATGTTTACAAACACATCAATGTCACGCATTGCATTTGCATTTTTTGAGATTTTTGGGATGGTCGAGCTTCACGATGGGGTGTGAAATGAACAATGGGAAGCGAAGCGAGGCTCACAAAGAGATACGGTGTTCGACTCATGGGAGCGACTCATCCTGACTGCTCAAACCACACGTCCATTCCCGTCACAGCCGTCTAAGCCCGCCCCGCTCAGTGGTTTGGTCGTCTCAGCCCGTCCTGCCCGGTGGTTCGCCCGTCTAAGCCCGCCCTGCCCGGTGGTTCGCCCGTCTAAGCTCACCGTACCCGGTGGTTCAGCCGTCTAGGCCCACCCTGCCCGGTGGTTAGGACGTCCAAGCCCACCCTGCCCGGTGGTTCAGCCGTCTAGGCCCCCACACTGCCCGGTGGTTCAGCCGTCCAAGCCCACCCTGCCCGGTGGTTAGGCCATCTAAGTCCGTCTTGTCCGGTGGTTCGCCCGTCTAAGCCCGCCCCGCCCGGTGGTTTGGCCGTCTAAGCCCGCCCCGCCCGGTGGTTAGGCCGTCTAAGCCCGCCCCGCCCGGTGGTTAGGCCGTCCAAGCCCGCCCTGTCCGGTGGTTCAGGTGTCCTGTCTGACCGTGCCAATCTGTGTTTCAGCCGTGCAGAATGAGCGCCAGCCGAGGAACACGGCCACCATCCGGCCGGAGGTGCTGGCCGAGATGGACCACGATCGCGCCATGAGAGAGGCTGCCGTTGCCGTCGGCGTCTTCACGTGAGCATGACGGCGGCGCCGCCGCGCCTGGCTCGCCGTCACGTTATTCTGTTCGACGAGCGGCGCGTGCCGTTTGCGGGATGAATTTGCTCTGAGTCTCGTTTTGAATTCGGAATAAGTTAGCCGGAGAGCGATGTGTTCCGGATGATGCGTCTATCTCCTTTTCCGTTAGAACTTGGCAATCTTATTCTTCTCTGTGACGTGTAATTCGGTTCGCAATGTGTGGAATCGATGCCAGCTGGTCCCCCACTGTCACCCCCCCCCCTCCCAGACCGTCGATGTCGATGCCGGTTGGTCCCACCGCTGACCCCCGCCCGCCAGACCGCCGATGTCGATGATGGCGCACCAGCACTACATGAGCGGCGGCTTCATGCACCCCAGCAGCAGCGTGCCGATGTCGCTGGCGTCGCCGAGCCCGGCGCTGGCCGGCGCACCGCCCAGCTCCAGCCAGCCGGCCGGGCTCGACATGAGCGTGCGCCGGGAGCCGACCGACGCCGGCGCCCCCGCCGACCAGCACGGTACGCGGGGAGGAGCCTGTCCGGCCGGGGGCGGGCGGCGGCGGCGTCCGCGGCCGCCAGCTCCGAGATGGCGCGCGTCCGGACGCGGCCTCTGAGCGGACGGCTAAGGGATACCGCGGCGCAGTCCGACAACATTTTCTAAAGGGACGGAATCGGTTCCAGTGGAGTCGATTGCGTGACGGTAGCTCAGGAGATTAACCGTCCCAAGATCAAAGCGAAGGTCACGTCGCAGGAGCAAAGGACGTTTGATTATAAGATAACCATACATCCATTGTTCCATTTGCTGCACAATCAGGAGCGCCAGAATGAGAATGTCCGTCGTTAATTAACTTTTGATTTAAGTGGTCTCAATGCTTGTGTCTGTCAACGCGGTTCACTTAGCGCCTGCTCTGGACTTACACAAATTTGGAACTAAGCAAACTCTACGCTGGCTACAAAAGCATGTTTGGTTTCAACGCAGACATCGGCCCTAATGAGCCTAATTATGTTATTACTCATGGCGATTTTGCAATTTTATTACGCTGTTATAACTACTTTGTTTTGCAAAACATTATCCTTGTCTGACATGTTTTATGTTTTGGCCTTTACCGTTATCGTAACAACCGCTTTCAAACAGCGGTGCATAGAAGTAAGTTGACAGCCAGAAACCTTGAAAAATCGGCGGCTAAGCTAGCTTTACAGCAAGGAAACATGCGCAAGTTGTTTAGTACAGCTGCAGAAAACAGCATACATAAGAACAGCGATAATGGTCTTATTCCTTGCTGAAAACCCAAGAGAAAAGGAGAGCTGCATGAAAGTTTGTCTGCAGGCTTTTGTCAAAACCACTTTGAAACGTGAATTCAAGCCTGCTTGCCGGCCATACTCGACTCTTCACTTTTTTTGGAAATAGCAAACCACAGTTTCAGTAGGCCACGGGCATTCCCAGAATTATACAGGAAGCAGTTGTCGACCATTATTGCAATTCGGTATGTATCTAAGGATGAAAAATATAAAAACTGTAACGATATAAAATATAAGAGCTATAAAATGTTATTAAAATCGCTTACGCACAAATCGTTTCGAGTAAACACGTATCGCATGTATACATTTCAAACTATTTCAAGTAGACGCGCATCATCATCATCATTTATCGATTTTTTATAAGAAGTTGGCGACCGGACCTCGACGACCAGGGCTCCTCATGACTGATTATGCGAATGTGATTGGCGTCTTAAGCCGTGATGCGTGTTTATTTGAAATCGTTTGCTTGTATCCGTGATGCTTGTGTTTTTGAAATGGTTTGCATGCATACATGATGCGTATCGACTTGAAATGTTCGTGTGTGGGGATATTTTATAACATTTTTATCCTTAGCTATAGGTACGCTGCATCGCATTAATGTCTGGCAATTGTTCTTTGCATAATCTTCGGAATGATGGTGACCTGTTGGAACTGCGACTCACTGTTTAAAAAAGTGGGATACGCCGGTGGTTTTATTTTCTCTGCTCATAATGGTTTTGACAAAGGCTTGAAACTGGAAAATTAATGCATCGCTCTTTTTTCCTTGTCTTTTTCAACGACGAATAAGGCTATTAGGACTGCTCTTATTAAATGATGCATCCCAATACCGGGTTCCGACGAGTGAGGCATCATTTCTGACTACTCGGTCAGCGATCGCTGCCTCGCCCTTCAAGGTCCACCAACTTTACCAGCCTTGGTTGTCAGTGCTCACAAACCAGTGTAGGTCCGGGCACCAGACTCGGGCTCAGTTGACTGGGAGCGCCCTCTGTTCTAGCACGAGCGCCACCTATGCGGACCGTGTCGGCACTGGGGTGATTGGATGACTATCTCACCCAACGCGCACTGTGTCTGTTGACGTGTCGTACCTCTGTCCTTGCTGATGCACCTGTCTCCGCTGACATGTTCTAAGGGGCCAGATGATGAATGCTAGACGTGCCATCTGTTTCTGCAAGGTTATCTGCTGATTACTTGCCTGATGATATCCTCACCACCACGTCCTTCGTCAGATCCGTCCCCGTTTCTCCACTCGCTGCTTTGTTCTGACTCCTGTCAGCTGCCGGTAAGGCAGGGCCCCGTCTTACGGGGAGCATCCTGCGGCGGCCTGCCGTGAGTCAGACTGACAGCCACCCTATCGGAAGTCCCACCCGAGCGCGCGCCCCCTCACGTGAGGTTCTCCTGTGACGTAGGACTCGGTACAGGTGGTCACGGTCGTTGCAGTATTTCTAAGCCACTTGCCCCGCACAATTCTCGCAGCCCTTTAAAGCAATGAATGACTAAGGGTGGAAAAGCTCAAACGTAGCTAAATTATTCGCTGTCGCTGCTAAGCCACCCTCTGCTAATGTGAACCGTTCCGTGCCGGTGCTAATCCGTCCTCTGTCACTTCTGACTCCCACTCTGGTGATACTGAACCGTTTCCTGCCGATGCTGACCCACCCTCTACTGGTGCTGATCCGTTCCCTACTTATGCTGGTCCGTCCTTTATCACTGTTGACCCACCTTGTGCTGATGCTGACCCGTTGTCTCCTGCGGACGTCGACCCACCCTCTCCTGATGCTGCCCTGTTGTCTCCTGTCGCTGCTGACACACCTCTACTGATGCTGACCCGTTGTCTCCTGCCAGTGCTGACCCACCCTGTGCTGACGCTGACCCTTTGTCTCCTGCCAGTGCTGACCCACCTTGTGCTGATGCTGGCCCGTTGTCTCCTGCCGGTGCCGACCCACTATCTGCTGATGCCGACCCCTTCCCTGCCGGCGCTGAACCTTCCGCTGCCGGTGCCAACCCACTCTCTGCTGATGCTGACCCGTTGTCTCCTGCCGGTGCCGACCCACTATCTGCTGATGCCGACCCCTGCCCTGCCGGCGCTGAACCTTCTGCTGCTGGTGCTAACCCACTCTCTGGTCATGCTGACCCGTTGTCTCCTGCCGTCAGACAAGCCACCGAGCCCGGAGCCGAAGCCAGAGGAGCCGTGTCCACTGGTGCCGCCCACGCTGCCGCTGTCGGCCGGCTGGCCGCCGCTCCATCCGGCCGCCTACCTGGAGCGGCCCTCCTTCTGCAGCCCGCCGCAGGAGACCATTTACGAGAACTCGGCCCGCCTCCTCTTCATGGCCATCAAGTGGGCCAAGAACCTGCCGTCGTTCGCTAGCCTCTCGTTCAGAGATCAGGTGGGTGGGCAGAGGGCGGCTGGCAGTGGCGTGTTTCGGATTACACCAGCCTTTACCGTCAGAGATTAGGTGAGCGGGCAGAGGGTGGCCGGCAGTGGTGTGGCTCGGATGTACACCAGCCCTCACCGCCAGAGATCAGGTGAGTGGGGAGAGGGTGGCCGGCAGTGGCATGGCTCGGATGTACACCAGCCCTCACCGCCAGAGATCAGGTGAATGGGGAGAGGATGGCCGACACTAGGCATGGCTCGGATGTACACCAGCCCTCACCGTCAGAGATCAGGTGAGCGGAGAGAGGGCAACCGGCAGTGGTGCGGCTCGGATGTTCACCAGCCCTCACCGCCAGGTAATCATGCTGGAGGTGATAAGGTCAGAGTTATCCCTCACCAGTACTTGTTGCGTGGATTATCCCTATGGAGATGAGTTTATTGTACAGCTCCCCTCCACCTCACCGCGTCTAGGGTGAGGTGGAGAGGAGGTCATGGTCCATGACGACCATGCGCTTATTCCGCGTACCCTGACGGCACGAACCCACCTGCCCAGGTAATCCTGCTGGAGGAGGCGTGGTCAGAGCTGTTCCTGCTGTGCGCCATCCAGTGGTGCCTGCCGCTGGAGACGCCGCCGCTGTTCAGTGTCGCGGACCACCTGCAGCACGCGCCGGACGGCAAGGCCGGCCCCGTGGCGGCCGACGTGCGCCGGCTGGCCGACATCTGCGCCAAGTACAAACTACTCGCCGTCGACCCGGCCGAGTTCGCCTGCCTCAAGGCGGTCGTGCTCTTCAAGTCAGGTCAGTGCTGACGGTCAGAGGCGGCGGGGGGGGGGGGGAGGAAGAGGTCGAAGTGGGCGTCGTGAAGTGAGATTCAGATGGGATGTGGAAGGTGGAAGGGCTGGCCGCGTTTGGTGTGGCGACCAATTGTTAAACAGCCGGGGAAGAAGCTTATGATGTGCATGGGTCTCACAATTCTTTCGACTGAGGTCAATTCGTATAAATATCCAATAAAAACATGCGATGCCGATGGCCACCTTTTTTAGTTGAGACGTTCGCCCACACATGTCTTTGATGGGATGCGGTCATAAGTGAATTATGTCACTTCCAGGACGACAGAAAAGGTTTCCGGCTTCCGCAACACTGTCCGGCGTCATCCATATTTCCCACACAGGGTGCAGCACTCCTCCCGTGTCTCTGTCTGACCTCATCCCGTGCCCCTCCAGAGACACGCGGCCTGAAGGAGCCGGCACAGGTGGAGAACCTGCAGGATCAGGCGCAGGTGATGCTGGGCCAGCACACGCGCGGCCAGCACCTGGGCCAGCCGGCCCGCTTCGGCCGCGTCCTGCTGATGCTGCCGCTGTTGAAGGCCGTGCCGCCCGCCCGCGTCGAAGCCATCTTCTTCCGCAGGACCATCGGCAACACACCCATGGAGAAGCTGCTATGTGACATGTTCAAGAGCTGAATGGCGCCGGCGGGCGCGCGCGCTGGGACGAGCGGCCGCCAAGGTGGCAGGGCTGGATAATTTTGTACGTTATAGTGGTGTTCTGACGCGCCGTGTTCGTGCAAGTCAAGCCACTGTCCCAGAGGTACACGTGGTCGTTCACCGCGAAGCATGGTGGGCAGAGGCTCCAATTTTGGGCCGAAGCATGCACTTGACACGCGTCACCATGTGTACCGACTCGTACTGCAAGATGTTTCGCAACGTGTTTCTATAGGATGGCTTAAATTTGTTAATAGAAGTAGAACCCGACTGAAATAGGCTTCAATGCCACGGTAGGCGATGACCTCGTCTTAAACAGACTATTTTACAAATTCATTGTGGTTGGAGTCCGAACCTAAGCGTAGCGGGATCAAAGCGGGTTTCAGTCAAATAGTGCCCATGTCTTACGCGCTGGTCGTGAGGGTCTCAAAGTGGAAGCCGAGATTTCCGAGAATTTCGCTCTATCTGACGTTCTCGCACCTAGATTCCTTTAGCCGAGGCCTCAAACATAAACGTGCGAAGTCCTCGCGCCCCATGATGTCATTCGATGACCTCGTCTCATCGTCTACGTTCGCCACCCTGCAATGTTTATCATCAGCGGACGGCACTTGCTATGCGATGCAAAGGACCATAGCTGGCTACAGAGTCTTGCTGGCGTCCGCACGACCATCACCGTGATCCCAGGTCCACAGCACACATCACAACCATCACTGTGATCCCGGGTCCACAGCACACGTCACAACCATCACTGTGATCCCAGGTCCCACAGCACACGTCACACGCATTCAACACATTGCACAGCGGTATCTGCGTCAGGGATTTCAATCCTGTGGGCCGGCTGCCGGATGCGCTGCGTCTGGCTCGGGTCGGTTCCCCTCAAGGAGACCCGGCCCGGTCGGCCCCCCCCCCCCCCCTCTACGTAGGGCCGGACCAGGCCGGCTCCCCTCCCGTGTCAGGTCCCCGTGTCGGCAGCGCCGGCTGGCCGGGCGGGGCAGCAAGCGTGGCGTTCGTCGGTACCGACTCTGGGTCACCGCCGGCACCAGTGTCAGGGGTTGTGTGCGGCACGCGCCGAGCAGTAGGGGAACGGTAGCCCTGTCAGCAGTGAGTTGACTTGACTTGGACGCTGCCCACCGAGAGCAGTGATGCGTTTTAGGGCAATGGTCCAGTAGGCGTGCTGTAACCTCTCCTCGTGAAACGCGGCAATAACTGTGTTTATATGAAATGCTCTTTCGCTCCATAGCATTCACAAATTATGTACTGAATCTTCCCCGGTTTTTGACGGTTGGCAAATGCTATCACTTTCCGTCATCGTTGTACATACTTGTATGATCTCTTAGATGTGTCCAAACCACCACTGTTGTTTGGTCGTTCAAAGTTTTCTCGCGAACGTTTCTTGCCGGGTTTGTGCAATGGAGAGAATAAGGTATGTTGCAGGAATATTCTCACGAAATCCAAGAGAACCAAACGCTTGTAAATTGCATGTCGCATCGCGGAGGTGTGAATCGCGCCAATGTTTTCAGTGCAAATTCGTGGCTGGTTTTTGTTGTTTTTGCGATCGTTTCATGGAGATCATTTGTCACATCCAAGCGTCTTGTCTGTGTAGTTGTTGATGTCTGGTGTGCAAATAAACATATTTCGCGAGGCCTTGGTGGTTGCTTTGACCGCATTGACATCGGTCTTAGATTGCTGCAAACTGACCACATGCAAGTTTTTTCATGGTCATGTATATATATTGATGACCCTCTGACACATTTATTCGAGCTCTGTATTGCACCAGGCAGCTTTCCAAACGGCGGACACCTTAACAAGCGCGTCGGGTGATTTGAGTGGGATATTACATAGCAGTTACACAACAGCAATTACGATATTTTTATCCCACCGTGATACAGCTTTTAGACTTTATCCAGATGAAAGGTGAGATATATTCATATGTATGCTATGAGAACAAAATGTTTAAATTGCATCGCCAAATAAAACTTTGCTTAGCAACCTATCAAAATTGTTATCTGGTAAGGTAATATTTGATGTCATACTGTACATGTTAGCACATCATACAAAAATATTTAATCTGTTACATGTTCTGTGCTCGCGTATTTACTCATTCACGCGCACTTCTTTTCTATTTTGCTAGGATATTTCACGATTGCACGCGTCTATTGATAGCACCGCGGGGCTATGCGTCAATAGATATGCATTGTATCCGGACCACAATACCAGCGCCTACCTATCCCATAAAACACTCAGGCTGATGAACCGATCAGTGATTGAGGACACGGGATGCTTTGTTGAGATGAAGTAAGCATTCACGTACCGATCTCCCAATGACCAATCACGTGTGGTGATTGTTGCGCCCCAGACTCCAACTGCGTTTGCCCGTACAACGTACATCCGTCACAGGCAGAGGTAAGCTGAAGAACTCAAAACGCGGCATCGACAGCACTCACACTGAAGCCAGCAGTTCCGGCTCGATACCCGGGTACCGGGTCTCCGCCTCACCAGCAATTGAGCTCCATTCCACACAGCCCGCCAGCGGAACCGAAAGCCGAGAGGTCACAGCAGGCTGTGACCCCATGCTCCCGCAGTATGGCGGATCCTGGCCCCTTGTGTCACGTGGCATTCGTCTGAAGCTCGGTCGGCAGTGCCGGGTCAGAGTGGGCCAGACCTGGCGCCGCTGTTGAAGGCGATGTCGTGCCCTGGTATCCAAAAACACTCGTTATCCTTTACGAAATGCCTCAGGGGTTCGGCAGTGACCACGATGTCAGAACTGAAGCTCGCTAGCTGCTGAGTCATTGCGATAAAACGGCACAGCTGTGCGATGTTGGAGGTAGTCGAAAAGCTGCGATTATCCTCATTTTGGATGCGTCTGCTTTAGAGGCCTTCACGGGTTAGGCACCCACGGGTGCCCAGATCACATACGTAACGTGCCAGACTGGGCACAGCTCATGGATCTGATGATTGGTATTCTTAGATTCTGGATCATTGGGGGTAAATCATGGGTACAGCGCGTAACAATTTCTTCATACAAGCACGGGTGAAGATAGCCCAGCACATGGGTAAGGCGTTAACAAAATGTCAGGCAGATACTTCAGGAAATACCACCCAACCTGCTGCTTGCGCTTCTTTTAGTCATAACTGATTCCATTCCAACGGTGCAGGAAGGGGGAGGCACAGGGTTCACGTGTCCCCCCCCCCTCCCTTCGGGACCGACGATCAAGGGCTCGATTTGAGGCCCGAAGGACACGAAGGGCTCACCGAAAGCCGCATCAAGGGGCCCCAGCCTTCAGACCCCGGCCCCCAAATGTCAGTCAGAGGGCCTTTTGACTAAGCGATTAGAAACTACCCGAAGATAGATAGGGAGTGTGACAATGCTGGTTCGCAAACACCTGAGTTAGATCTTGTTTGGCTATTAGTACACCTCAACAAACATCAGTCAGTACTAGCAACAAATGTGAACCGCGTGCTTAACAGCAGCGTGCGACAGATAGCTGTTGATTTTGACGATCTAGAATACTAGGTTGCAGTTCATGCTGGTCAGTTATCCACGAGGTGATAGCTGGGGATCTCGACAGCTGTTTGTTGAGAGTTCGACATAGCACCGGAGATCACATCCTGCTCCGGACATTCTCCACGTACGCCACGCATGTGACCAGCAGTGTCCATCACACCTATCGCCCAGTGAACTCTGCTGGATGTAACCACTACCAACCGTGCCGATCTCGCGCGCAGGAGCGGAGTGACGCGGCGTCATTACGGCGACCCTCACGATTTCACGCGCATCACCATGCGTCTTGATAACAAGAGCATCCACATGGGCCTCGTCGCTGCGTTGACAAACCCTGACATGAAGTGGCACGAATTCCGGCAATTATTCCTGCAGCAGTTGGAAACTGTAGTGCCGCTCCGACACATGCGCACCAAGCAGCAGAAACCACAGACTGTGACCACGGAACCCCAGCAGCTGCTGCGGGGCTGCCGCGCGGTCCTGGCGGCAAACAATCGCCTCGAGTACAAGCGCGCGAACCAACTGTGCCGCGCCGCTGTCCGCGACTGGCGACCGCTGTAGGGGCGGGAGACAGCCTGGGGCGATCGCAGCGCTCTGTGGCGAGTGCTCCGGCCCGTGATAGGCCACGTAAGCAGCAGCAGTGTGAAACGCTCACCATCGCGCCGGATGCCCTAAACGACTGCTATGTCGCAGTGGGCCCACTACAGCTGCCAGCGTACCGGCTGCGACAGCACCAGAGCCGACACGCCTGAGCCGTGTTACATAAAGCACGATTAAAGGGAATGTTTCACATTTGAAGATATTGGAGCAAGCATCAGATATGACGAAACACGCTTACGTGCAACTATAGGCATACTTTTAAGTGAAAAAACTGCCCTAGACAGCACAATTTTCTGTTGAGTAAATATGCTCGTCAATGCGTCATGGTTTGATTGCGTCATCGTGCCTCGCACAACATTGATTTAGAGCTCATTGTCGGCCGTAATATCTTGAAATTGTGCTAACGAACGCCAAACACGAACGCCTCAACAGTCCTGTGTTTTGGGCTTCACCGCAGCATAATGTATGCAATGACAGAATTTGAATGGCGTTATTGTGACACCATGAATGCCAAGATGACTTTGAAATACTCTTCCCGAAAAGCTCTCCCCATTTTCGCGGGCGTGTAGCTCAGATACTAGACGGGCTTAGGTCTTAAGAAAGGTAGGACTGTGGACAGCACCGAGAGGTCTTCAAGATGGCTGTTTCAGTTTAAAACTCCATATAGATGTGGAACCCTCCCTTAGAGGTGTAACCGATTGATGTGGTCATGCTGAATGTAACTCTCAGATCACTTGTCCTATGATCTCAGAGTCCTATGCTACTTGACGATGACAACGTTAGCCTGGTCACCGGTATTGTTCCCCTTGCATGGAAACACGCACTCGTCACACCAATACCCAAGGAAAAGCGTCCAAGAACCCAGCTGACACACATCCTACATATATTCCACCTGCCATTATGAAAGTGGTCGAACGAGCAGTCCATAAACAGCCGTCCTTCTATCCCGAAA